TGGGCTTTGATTGCACGAAGCAGTTTCCAGGATGGAAGCTGGGACCTGGACACTTACAGCTACATTTTCCCGCTCTTTTGTTATATGACAGGCAGGGGCACTGAGGGGATCAAGATTCAAGATAGCCGAACCAAGAAGATCTGGGGAGCCATCTTGCCCCTGTTACATCAGCCCACCCCACTCGGTCCGGCAGAAGGAGCACATTGCGGACCCCACCAGTCAAGGAATTTCGACCGGTGGGGTCTAGGAAGAGAGCCTTTTCTGCCATGGCCTCCACACTGCGGAACAACCTACCACCCGAGGTGCGGTGTGCCCCCACTCTCATGGCCTTCAGGAAGAACGTGGAATCTTGGCTATGTCAGATGGCCTGGGGCCAGATGGGGGTTTGCACCAGTGGAATTGGCTTATGGGGTAATTGATTATACCCCCCAATCATCTTGAATGTTTTTAGTCTTTTTATGTATAGCATCCTTTTATATAGTCTAATTTAGCTAATTAATGTGCATATTTATATTTTTCAATGTTTTCAGGTTTTACTCTAGGTGTGAGCTGCCAAGAGTCACCCTCCAGGGGAGATTCGCGGCATACAAATTTAATAACTAAATAACTAAATCTTCATGCAGTACAAGTCAACTATGGATTGTGTATTGCTGTTAGTCATGGTAGGAAGGTGGAACTACTACATTCAGAGTTGATGCATCTCAGCGTAACATTTGGTGAGGAACATGAAGGGGAAGGTGTTGCCTGTGGGTTTGCAAGAGGTGTCTTGAAAGGGGCACCTTCACCCTAGTGTCTCCATCCAGAGACAGCTCTGCTGAAGCACCTCTACAATCTGAAGCACCACTTTCATCTTTCTGAACCCAAAGTCTCTTTGTCCAATTTCCACGTATCAATCACTTTCTGGAATCCAGCAGGTCAGTAGAAATGTGTTACATTATTAAATCTGCTTCTAGTAAGGTCTCCTTCTTTCATAATCTCAGCAAACACCATAGGTTGGCCTGATTCCAAATTGAAAGAGACCTTCATTTAGAGCAGGTGGGACAGGGTCCAGCAAGACCCTTATGGCTCTTAAGGACAAGAGGGGACAGGCTTGTTCTGTGTTGAAGCCAAGAGCAAGTCAAGCATTTTTGGGGAGGAGATTCAGAGGACGTCCAAGGAATGATTTGGGCTGGACTGAACCCCAGGTTACTGATAGAATTGAGGGCCCTTGAAGAAATAAGTAATGGCAAAGAACTCTGAAGTGGAAGAAACACGACAGCCGTTCAATGTGCCTTTGACTCAGCTGCTCCTGTTTGTGTTGCCTTCAGCTGCAAAAACATCTGAGAAAGTGTACAGCACAGGAAATGGATGGGCAGATCTTTAACTTGGAGGATCTTCACAGCCGTCTCAGTAGCACTTTTCAGTGATTCTTGGTGCCCTTTGGAAGAAGATCAGTTGCCAGAGAAAGGAGTAGGACCCATTGGAAAATCAAAGGTGTCCCATTAGAATGCCCTTCTCTAGGCCAGTGACTTCCTGAGGGGTTGAAACTGCTGCTCCAGGTGAGAGAATCATGGTGCAACCCCTCAGGATGGAACAAGTCAGAGAAGTCAGTGATATTCTACCATCTTCTCCCACTAAGTCATTTGTCTTAGATATAGAATATGGTTATGAAGCCAACTTGGAAGGGAGGTTCCTCGGAGTTTCACAGCATGCCAAATGCCACAGAAATGCAGCGAGATAATTAAGCTCTGCTCCCCCAGGTCTGCACCCCCAATTTCCCATGCAGCTAATTCTAATTCAAACAGCACAGGGAATCAGGAGGTCTTCTTTGGGTGGGAGAGATCCCTAAAATTTCATTCTCCACATTTCCACAGAGACCTCAAATAAATGACTTTGTCATTTTGCTTCTTCCATGCATTTTCCAAGGTCCATTGCCCCTTTCTGCTTTCTTCACATGCATTTTTCTCTCTTCCCAGATGTCCATTCTTTCTCTTATGGATTCCCAGAACCAAACTCAGGGGACAGAATTTATCTTCCTGGCATTCTCTGGACTCCTAAGCCACCAGGTCCATCTTTTCTTGGTGGTCCTTGTTGCCTATTTAGCCACTCTGATGAGCAACTTCATGATCATAACCCTGGTTCTCCTGGATTCCCACCTTCACACCCCCATGTACTTCTTCCTCAGCCAGCTCTCCATCTTGGATATTTGTCTCTGCTCTGTGGTTGTACCAAAAATCCTGGTGAACTTCCTACGCCAGCAACACACCATCTCCTACAACCAATGCCTGGCACAAGCGTTCTTCCTCATTGGCTTTGCAGGATGTGAGCTGGCCCTACTGGCTGTCATGGCCTATGACCGCTACGCAGCCATCTGTCAGCCTTTGCACTATGCCCATCTGATGAGGACCAAGGTATGCATCCAACTGTCTGTGGCCATTTGGCTCTGGGGCTTCCTACACTCAGCCATCCATGCTGCCCTGGCCTCCAGGTTGGATTTTTGTGGAAACCACCAGGTTCCTCACATCTTTTGTGATGTTCCCCCATTACTAAAAATTGCCTGCAGTGATACCTGGGTAAACGAATTGGCCAATCACATCACCAGCATCTTTGTGGGCCTCAGCCCTTTTCTCTTCATCATCCTGTCCTATTTTTATATCTTGGCCTCCATTCTGCGGATTCACTCCACCACCGGCAGGCGCAAAGCCTTCTCCACTTGTGCATCACACATTGCTGTGGTAACTCTCTTTGTTGGCAATGGATGCGTGAATTACAACCAGCCTAGTGCTGGCTACTCCTTGGAGATTGATGCCCTGATCTCCACAATGTTTTGTATTGTCACCCCCATGCTGAACCCTTTGATCTACAGCCTCCACAACAAGGAGGTGAAGGGGGCCCTGCGGAAGGTTCTCAACTGCTGGAAGTCAGCATAGCCTTCATTTTGGGGGGAAGGTGTTTCGTTGACCGTCATGTGTTTGTGCTCCCCAAGAAAAATGAAGGTTGTGCACATGAACTATGGTAGAAGGACTTTTTCAAGGCCCCTGCAAAACCATTCCCAAGAGAAAACAAATGGAGATTGTTGTAAGAACATGTGTAGCTGGACCTTGCATCTGTTTTTTTAATGGTAATTTTGTTAAAAATTACAATTATTACAATAAAAAACTAGTACAGACTAAAAAATAAAAGAATAAAAAGAAAAAAATAGAAGGTGCAGAAAAAAACAAAATAGAAAGAAAAATAGAAAAGAAAGAAAAAATTAGAATATAGCAAAGAAAAGAAATATATAAAGAAATGACTTCCCCATTCACCACAAGTATCAACAATTTTAGTAACTTATCACCTTATCTTAAAATACAACAAATGATCTCTTCTTCCCATATCCCATCTCTTATCCGTAAACAAATCCTTAAAACCTCATCATTTCAGTCCTGATGTCAGCACAACTCCATTGAGGGTCACCAGAGATAACAACACATCTATTTTAACCTTGTTCAAATAAGCCAACTTTATATTCCTTCCTTTTACTTCTAACTCCCTGGTGTCCTTACCTGTGGGCTCCCTGGCTTCCCTGACTCCATCCTGGTCCAATAGCCTTGCCGGGACCTGTGAGGATGCTACAGGTGTTGATAGGGGGTGAGAGGTCTAGCCCGCAGCCCCAGCTTTGTGGGGTGCCACAGGGCTCAGGGCTCTCTCCACTCCTGTTTAACATCTACATGAAGCCAGCGGATGAGCTCATCCGTCACCATGGGATGAAGTATCATCAGTATGTGGATGACACTCGATTGTACATCTCAGTCCTGGGTGCACTAAGTGATGCTGTGGACGTTCTTTTGCGGTGCTTGGAGGCCGGGGGGGTGGGCAGGGTCTGGGTGGGGAACAATAGGCTTCAACTGAACTCTGACAAGACAGAATGGCTGTGGGTTCGGGGCTCCTCTGTATCTGAGGCCTTACCAACTTTGGTCCTGGATGGGGTCGCACTGTTCCAAATGGACCCGGTGCGTAATCTGAGGGTCCTCCTGTACTCATGACTCCTGCTTGAGAAGCAGGAGGCAGTCGTGGCTAGGAGGGCCTTTGCTCAGTTCTGTGTTGTGTGCCAGTTGTGCCCTTTCCTGGATCAGGAAGTCCTTCTCTCAGTCACTCGTGCCTTGGTCATCTCTCGTATGGACTATTGCAACACATTCTACATGGGGCTACCCTTGAAAAGTATCCAGAAGCTGCAGCTGATGCAGAATGCAGTGGCGCGGGCAGTTATGGGTGCCTTGAGGGCTGCGCATGTAACCCCCTCTGCTGCACGAGCTGCCTTGGTTGCCGGTTTGTTTCCGGGTCCAATTCAAGGTGTTGGCTATGACCTTTAAAGCACTTCATGGCATGGGCCCAGTTACCTGAGGAACTGTCTCGTCCCGATTACACTGAGCCACCCCACCTGGTCCAGCAGGAAGGGCGTTACAGACCCTGTCGGCTAGAGAATTTCGATTGGCGGGGTCTAGGAGGAGAGCCTTTTCTGCCGTCGCCCCCGCCCTGTGGTACAACTTGCACTTGGGTGACATTGGTCCCCACTCTTCTGGCCTTCCAGAAGAGCATTAAGACCTGGCTCTGCCAACTACCATGGGGACCCAGTGGGGGATGGTGGTTTGAGGACGCTCTCTCCATCTTTTAGCTTTTGTACATTTTTGTAAAGATTTTAATTGTTTTATCACTTTTTCACTTGTAAGCTGCCTAGAATCTCTTAAACAGTGAGATGCGAGGCATATAAATTTGATTAATAAAATAAATAAATAATATTGATCTTTAGTCCCTCCAAATAATGTCCTAGAACTTGATTTCATTTTTTCTTTGTCCCTTTTCATAAAATTCTTTAACAAGACTCTTTTGTAAATCCAATACAGGAAAATTATCCAGGTCACTCTCTTGGTTTGTTATTTGTATATATTTCATTTTTTCTTTGTCCCTTTTCATAAAATTCTTTAACAAGACTCTTTTGTAAATCCAATACAGGAAAATTATCCAGGTCACTCTCTTGGTTTGTTATTTGTATATATTTCATTTTTTCTTTGTCCCTTTTCATAAAATTCTTTAACAAGACTCTTTTGTAAATCCAATACAGGAAAATTATCCAGGTCACTCTCTTGGTTTGTTATTTGTATATATTTCATTTTTTCTTTGTCCCTTTTCATAAAATTCTTTAACAAGACTCTTTTGTAAATCCAATACAGGAAAATTATCCAGGTCACTCTCTTGGTTTGTTATTTGTATATCCCTTTTTTAATTATTAAAAAATTAGCCTGCTTGTTTTGTATGTCCAGTGTAACACCTTTTTCCATGTCATTCCTATAGCCTGTCATTTTTAAATCCACTTTCAAATCAGTCTCAATCATGTCAGGTAATATTTGTTCCTCTTCCATAACATCTTTTAAACACAGTCTACCTATAGGGGCAGACACTCTTAAAATTAACTTCTGGGTTCAAAAATATCCCCTAATATGTCCAATATTAAAATATTTTGCTTTGTTGTGTATTAGTAAGTCAAATTTAAGTTTTCTTCTTTAATTGTAATCTTTAGTTCCTTCTGGTTCCCTCTAGTGTCCAATTTTTAAACCATTATCTTTTTTTTTAAAGAATTCAAAACAAAAACATTTTCCCATGGGAAGGATTCTTTATAATTAATCCCAAAATCTTATTTAAAATTTATCTGGACCCTTAGTCCATTTGTAAGTTTCTGAAATCAAAGTTTTAATCACCCTTTTGCTGTTTATTTTTTTTTAAAAAATTAAGTGTTTAAACTTGCATTTAAAACTTCTTTCACTGAGGAGTGAAGGAAATTCACCTGGTATTGTAAAACTTCTTGATCAAAAGGTTCCTAATAGCTGAAAAGCAGTCAATGAGCAATTTCCAAAAGTGATTAGAAAAGGAAGTATTTGAACCCAGTGTCATTTCAAAGGCGCCAATCGCAGATTGAGCAAGATGGCTATTCCCTCGTCTCCCAGCACTCTAAACCTGCCAGAGAGCCCAGTCTTACAGTCTCCTTGCAAGGAGCAGCTGTCTGGAACACTTGTGGTTGTTCATAAGTCCTCTTCTTGTCTGGAGAGGAGGTATCGAAAAGCCAGTCTACTCACTGGCTCTTTGTTCCACCATGGTCATTTGCTCCACTTTTTGCAGAGCCATCTTCAGTCCGCCATTTCTTCCCAAGAAGTCCAAGTAGCTGGACCTTGCATCTGAATGAAAACTCATTAACTCCACCATTCTGTGTTCTATCATGACCAGTTAAGTGTCTCAAGGAACCTGCAAACAAATGCCGCCCACTTCTTCTAGAAGCCGGAAGCTGGTGGTGACCAGGGACATGTGATTCCTGATCATATGAGTAGAGGTAACAGCTCATGGCTTATAGTCATTTTGATATCCTGTCTTCTACTGCCCCAGAGCATAGACAAGCTCTAACTAAGACAGAATTCAGATGAGGAACAGGAAAAACAGTTGGATAGTCAGAGAACAAATGCCACAGTAGGAAACAAAGTATGGGGATGGTGGAAGCCAAGGTGGTTTGCAAGGACAGAAAGATATGGAAATGTATAATGAATCGCAAAGTTGTAAATTGCCCTGTCTTTCTCTCTGTCTTATCTCCAGCCTTTAATACCTTCTTCGGCTCTTTCCCACTGGTTCTCTGCATGTCACATAACGATGCTTGCTCCGAAAGGAAATAGCATAAATGCTATGTCTGTCTGAGTTCCAAATAGCTGAGTTCCAAATCAGCAATAAAAAACAAAGGATGAAACAAGATAAAATAACTGAAATCAGTTAGGAGCTAAATTCAAGTCTCTTGAAAAAAAGATAGAGGAAAGTTTAGATACGATGGTTAATTTTGAAATGGAGGTAGAGATTGACTTGAATGTGGATTTGGGGTTCAGAAAAATGCTGGATTATGAAGGTTGTATGAACAAAGATGTTTTGGATCTGAAAATAGATTTCAAAATGCCAAAGGGTAACAGTGATATGCAAAAGGATGCCAGAATGGATTTACAAATGAAACCCACTGATGTCACCATGATCCAAGGGACAGGAAGAACAACTTGGAAAGACTTTTTATCTTGGATTTGCAAAAGGAATGTGTTGAATCCGTGAAGCTGTT